ACTCACCAGAATGTTAGGAGGAATCCGCACACTCTGGCGACCTGGAGTGTTCGTTCCCATTTAAACTATCAGAGGAGCAACCGACCGGAACGGAAGACGGCGCTGGTGGCTCGGAAACTGGCGCGCTACAAGCTGGACATCGCAGCACTCAGCGGGACCTGATTCTCCGAACAAGGCCAACTGGAGGAGGTTTGTATCGGCTACACCTTCTTCTGGGCGGTCGCGCATAGGCAGAGGGACAGGACGCGGGTGTCGCCTTCGCCATCCGGAACGACCGCTGGACGACTGCCCTGTCTGCCGCAGGGCATTAACGATCGTCCGATGAGCCTTCTTCTTCCTCTCCAAGGAGATGAATTCGCCACCATCGTTAGTGTCTAAGCTCCCACGATCACAAGCCCTGAGGAGACGAAGAACAAATGCTACGAGGACCTACATGCCATCCTGACGTCTAAGCCGAATTCGGATAATTTGACTGCCAGTGGTGACTTAAATGCTCGTGTTGTCACAGATCATGCTGCGTGGAGTGGAGTGCTGGGCCCCCCTGGTCTCAAGGACTCTAATGACAATGACCTGCTTCTCCCACGTACCTGCGCAGAACGCCGGTTCCTCCTGACTGACACTCACTTCCGCCGCCTTATGCAAGAGAATGCCACTTGGACGCACCCTCGGTCACGTAAATGGCACCTGCTGGACTACGTCCTCGGTAGGAGGCGAGACCAGCGTAACGTGCTGGTGACAAAGGCCATCGCGGGTGCTGATGGGTGGATCGACCACCGCTTCGTCATCTCGAAGATGCGTATTCGCTTACAGCCTCGCAGGAGACCACATGATAGGCGACCCCAAGGTAGGCTGAATATTTCGTTGTTGTCTTCGTCTGCTCACCATCTTCAATTCAGCAAAAAATTAGCTAAGAGGCCGGCCAACCTTCCGGCCGCCGCCACCGACGCCATCAAGGAGAACACCCTGGTGGATAGCTGATGATGCCAACTGCGAGGCACAGTCCAGTCGGCGACCCTAGCTGTCTTCGGTCGAGCACGTGACCAACATCAGGACCATCAGCAACCTGCTCACCAAGAAGGACAGTCTGCGGAAATCCTACGTCGACTGCCCGACAGACGACAACAAAGTGGCCTTCTATCGCAGTCGTCACCTTGTGTAGTAGCGGCTGCGGAGATTCAGGACACCTTGGCGGTCAACAAGGCCGAGGAGATCCAAGGGTACGCGGACCGCCAAGAATAGAAGAAGTTCCTCGCCGTGATTAAGGCTGTCTACAGTCCACCAACTATGGCAACTGCATTCCTTATCGGCACCGACAGGAGTACCCTACTCATTGAGAAGACAGCGATGGGCCGAGCACTTCAGAGGCGTCCTCAACCATTCCTTCATCATCTCTGACGCCGCCTTCGCTCGTCTGCCTCAAGTGAAGACCGACGTCGACCTCAACCTTCCGTTCTCTCTCCACGGAACCATCAGGGGCGTGCAGCAGATCTTCAGCGTGAAAGCGCCCGGATCAGATGCGATTCCTGCTGAAATCTATGAGTACGGTGGCCCTAATTCATAGATCGTCTGATTGCATTCTTCCAGGAGATTTGGCGTCAAGAAGAAGTACCGCAGGATTTCCAAGAAGCCACAATCGCCCAACTACAGTGAGTGACCGATCTCATGAAATGTTGGCTAAAATTCTGGAATGCGTTTTCGATTAGGATGGAATACTTGGTGGCGGTTGTAATACTGATTATTTTAGGGCATACTCTTATAACATTTCAGACTCGGCAAAATGTCGGCTTTTAAATGCACTTCTTTTCAATCCCCTGAAGAGAGCATACTCGGTAAAAAAAAATGACTAAATAAGTAGCATGCATTTTCCCCATTGATTTTCGATGGTCTTGGAAATTCAAATATATTTTATAGAAACCATAAACAAAAATATGCTTTTTTTCGTCAACCAATAGAAAATCACGTCTCCTTTATATTTTATACTTAAGGAAGGAGTATAATTGGGTTTTAAAAAAGTTGCGAATTATGAGACTTTTTAAGACCGAGAAATGTCCATTCACATAGCATCGTACCTGGCCGTTTACCACTGTTCCTTTTTTATTTTTTATTACTGAATTCCAGGTCTGTTGTGAAATTTACAACGTGGTCCGCATCCATTGCAAAATTTTATGGACTCTGTATGATATCTCTTTAATGGTATAGAAAAATATGTGATTTTCTTTTCGTGGAACGCATGCACCTTGTAGAGTGAAATCACTAAGCGCTAATGCAACGAATGATCATGCTCCAAATTATTCGGTAATGAGAAAAATTCTTTTAAACCTCATTATACTCCTTCCTTAAGTATAAAATATAAAGTAGACGTGATTCTCTATTGATTGACTAAAAGAAAGCATATTTTTGTTTATGGTTTCTATAAGATATATTTGAATTTCCAAGACCATCGAAAATCAATAGGGAAAATGCATGCTACTTAAGTAGTCATTTTTACCGAGTATGTTCTCTTCAGGAGATTGAAAAGAAGTGCATTTAAAAGCCGAAATTCTGCCGAGTCCGAAATGTTATAAAAGTGTGCCTTAAAATAATCAGTATTACAACCGCGACCAAGAATTCCATCCTAATCGAAAACGCATTTCAGAATTTCAGCCAAAATTTCATGAGATCGGTCAATCACTGTATAAGCGGAAATGTAATCGCCAGCTCTAAAACAACCATCTAGGTATCTCCTTGCTGGACATCGCTGAGAAGATCTTCACTCGTATCCTTCTCAACCGTCCTAACAACCATTCTGCTGGAAAGCCAGTGCGGCTTCCACTTTTATCGTGAGACCACCGACATGATCTTCGCCGCCCGTCAACTCCAGGAGAAGTACTAGGAGATACGGACCCACCTGTACTCTACCTTTTTGGATCTGACGAAAGCCTTCGACACGGTGAATCGTGAAGGACAGTGGAAAACTATACAGAAATCCGGCTGTCCCGAACGATTTACCCAGATGGTGCGCCAGCTCCATGATGGCATGTTGGAGCTGTCTCAGAGGCATTCGCAGTGACCAACGAAGCGAAGCAGGGTTGCGTTCTAACCCCTACTATTCTAGTTTCATGTTCTCTGCCATGTTGATGGACGCCTACCGTGACAAACGCCCCAGGATCCGCATCACCCACAGAACGGACTGTCATCTGTTCAACCACCGGAGGATGCGCCTCCCATCGCGTGTCTCCTCAACCGCCGTTCACAAACTTCTGTTCACCGATGACTGCGCAACTACTTAAGCAGGCATGCAAAGAAACATCCGTCTCTTCTCTGCCGCCTATGAGAACTTCGGCCTGATCATCAGCGCAGAGGAGATGGCGGCCATGCACCAACCGCCACCCAACACCGCCCACAATGCGTCGCAAATCAGCGTGAACGGAACCCATCTGCAAGTGGAGGACAACTTCCTGTATCTGGACAGCACCCTCTCCTGCAGCACCAAAATCGACGATGAAGTGGCTCGTCGGATTTCCAAAGCCAGTCAAGCCTTCGGTCGTCTTCAAAACACAGTTCAGAAACGTCACGGTCTTTAGCTCAACATGAAACTGAAGATGTACGAGGTCGTCATCCTTCTTCCGACGCTGCTGTATGGAGCTGAGATCAGGACGGCGTACATGGAGCAAGCACAAAGAGTCGACCACTCACACCTCATTCGTCTACTTCGCATACTGAAGCTGGGGTGGCAGGGCCGTATCCCAGACACTGACGTGCAGGAGCAGATGGGGATCCTCAGCACCCTTTTTATGCCGAGACAGCGACAACTACGCTGGAGCGGCCACCTCGTACGGATGGACGACGAGAGGCTAACCGCACGCCTCTTCTATGGAGATGTCGCTACGGGTTCTCGCCGACAAGGAGGTTAAGTCCGGCGTTACAGGAATATTCCGAAAATCAACCTGAAGCGCCTGCTGATCAAGCCGCCAAACTGAGACGACCTCGCCTGGGACCGACCTGCGTGGAGGAAAACAATGAAGACAGGCGCAGCAGTCCTAGGAGCCAACCGTATCACGGACGCCGAAGCCGAACGCGAGACGCAAGTCTCCACTGTCGCCGTCCCCACCGCCCACGCCACCTCAAAACGCCAACGCCCAACCGCCTCAAACGTGCTTACGATGCCAACGGACATTCCGGACGTCAGTTGGACTTGTTGGACTGCTCCGGATCAACTTCACCAAACTTCGTCAGCCCGTCTACCTCTACTTCGCCTCCCACGCCGTAAACTAACGTTGAACACCCTCCCGAACCACCATCACTGCCATCCTCCTCCTCCCCCCCACCACCACCACCTCAACCTCTGCCGCTGTGGCGTCTGCCATTCCCATCAACACTACATACAACCCCGACACACCGACAAACGCCGGCACCACAACCGTGGACACCAGTGATAAGGACCCGGTATATACCTGTCCTCATTGCAACCGCACCTTCACCCCACACATCAGCCTGGTCAGTCTCTTGTGAATTCATCAGAAAGAGACTGGCGAACCAGTGCCTGGAGCATCAACTTACACCCGACTCATCCGCCTCCATTGTCCACATTGCACTGTCACATTTATTCACCGCATGGGTCTACTAGGTCACATTTACGTCCACGAAAACCTGCGGCAGACAATTGCTGGCCGCTCCACATCATCACATGCTCCCTATCTAGCATCTCACTGCTCATCTAAAATCCCCCACAGCAAGCACCCAACTGCCACCTTCCAGGCAAGCGTCTCGGCTCCTTCTCAATGCGGCTTTCCTGCTACATGTGTGATCGGAATATGTGACGAAGACGGTGCGTCGAGCGCCGTAACTCAGAAGCCAGCCGACTCACGCCCCAACTCAGTCCACGCAATCTGCCTAGTTGTGTGTTTTGTGTGGAGTGGCGGACAGGTGGGCTGAGAACCAAGTTGTCACGGCCCAGTCTCAAGAGATCTGCGACATTCTCATGTATGTGAGGAGTGTGTGGGCTTTATGGGTAGTACCCCCTAGTCCACGACTATTTGGTTACCTAACCTTGAAGGGTGACGCTCCAGGCTCAATGCAGGACCACGTGTCACCCATCTAGGTCAAAGGGTCTGAAAGCGTGTCGACAGATTCTCGACCAGATTCTCTTTCATCCTAAACGGAAACCGTTGTAAGTATATTGTAAGTTACTACCGGTGACATTGGCGGCTCGCCAAGTTCCCAGTATCGCCTATCAAACGGATTGCGGCGTTGTCTAGTTGACTTTCGCCGAGCAGTCTCCTCGTCACTGGAAGACGTAGCCATGGATGTCTACAACCACACAGAGAAAAAATACGAGTTAGTAACTTCAACTATAACTACGTCCTCTACATCCCTTGATGCTCGTTAACCACTAACTAGGTACTGTGTGGTTGTAGGGTCAACGAGCATTGTCCATGGATAGCACGGGGTTGATAGTGCAAAGGATGCTTGTTCATAGACTAATATCTTCATTAAGAGGTATGAGTTATCTCGAGGAAAGCAAACGTACTTAGAGAAGGTCATGGGTAAGTGTGCACAGTCAATTGTTTCCGAGATATCGGCTGTGTACACCTGTATGGTTGATGACTCTGCAAGATACTGGAAGTCATCAGCGATGTTAGTGAATTCGCTGTATACTAGTAGAATCTGTCCTTCTCTGTCTACAAGTATATTCTTTACACAGACTATTTTGTCGCCGACGGTTATGCACCGATTAGCTGAGGATGTATCCACTCGAAAACCGGTGCCCACTATGCAGGTGAACTGCCGGTAAAATGTCCTTCAGGACAACTATACCTGTGTACAGCAAAAACTGTCTGTACTCCGTGCCCTTCCAGGAGTCTAAGTCGGTTAGACTTCGACACCACTGAGAGAACTCTGTCGGTAGATAAGTATTTGATTCTCGTAATCTGCTATTAACCATTTCAACTTGCGATGAACGCAGTGTGCACGACTGCGTCTGGCCAGTTGCCTTAAACCGGTAATTTCTAACCCACAAATGAATTAGCTTCCTGACCACACATAAATATACAAGATGCAGTGGATCTAGTGGAAAATTAGACACTAAACCCAAATTACAACGCATAAAGGGGACACCCCTAACACATGTTGACTACTTTCCTGTCCTGTAAAGTCATCATCCTTCCTCTCCTTCTCTCCTTCCTCTAGGTAGACAACTTTTCCAACGTATGTTCCGACGTTTGTAAAACGTTCACAGCCGTCGTATGCGTTGACGTTCTTAATCTGTTTGACGAAGGCCCGCGCGAGTGCATTGCAAATAACACTAGCTATGCGGACTCGCATCCTGCCTGGTCGATTACTGAATTGTAATCCCTCTTCCTTAAGGACAACTATTTCGTCTATAAGGCCTTTACAAAACGCTTCTACGTTTGACGGCTTGCCGTTCCCACAGTACATGGAAACGGCAAATACGTTCCTAACAAATGGCTTCATGATACGACCTAGAATGGGCCATAGTTCAGCCCTCGCCTTGCGGTAAAGAGGCAAACCACCTATAGCTAGATTCACAACCATCTCTTCATTGTCTGCGACTACGATTTCACTATCAAATAATTTGCGTAGTTGCTTGTGCAGCCCAACATAGCGGTGCACCGCTATAAACTAATTCACGCAAAGGTCACCGGACCTGCTCTCACCTTACAGTGGAGCATTCGGTGTAAGTCGTCCGCAACGACAGTCGAACTGCAAAAAATGCCTTCTGGCGATATCCAAACCACTTGGCTCTCTGATCGTAATCGCATTTTCTCATTTGAAAGTCTGATGCTCAATGGCCCAAGCTCAACGGTTCCCTAATTAATTAAATTATACGGGACTCTTAGCACCGTTATGATGACGAGCTTAGGACGTTGTTCTTATACACCAGAACTTCGAAATATAGTTGGCAAACCACCCAGTCCAATCAGAAATCGGAGTCCGTTTGAAAACGAGTTAGCGACTAATTACCCGCAGCACATAAAATTATCCGGGCAACGCCTCTGCTCTAGACGGTATTTGCACTCCAGTATGAGTGTAAACAATGACCAAGATACGCAGGTAGCCTTAATCTAGGGATCACACAAAACGAAAAACCTTGTTTTAAAGTAGTTGCCTTGTTGAATGTTTGTACCTGTCGAACATTATATGCCATATGGCAGATGCCCAACGTGCCTGTAGGCGCTGGGCGTCAGACACGCCGGTTTGCCCCATGCATATAGGACAAAATACTCGAATCTTTAGTGCGTGTATAAAAGGGATTTTGGCATGCTTAACTCACAAGCAAAGTGAAGTTATTTTTCGCCAAATTAAGTCTGCCAATTGCAATTGGCAGACTTGATATATTGAACAAATACGTGCTCATGCGCACGTGGGTATTTTTTGCATTTGTATTTACAAATACAAGTGTATGCATATGTATTTGAAGGGCTACAGACTGAGCCCTTGATGACCCTATTTATGTACAATAATTTCACATGTTCGCACTCTAAATAAGGTTGCAAACAGTTAGAATGTGATCGGTTCACAATGCAACATTAATAGTAAGGAAACGCTTCTGCTCAATGTGATCCAGTACGTAAAGATTATATAAGAGCAAATGTTTTAAAAGCTGGCTGTGAGTCGTCATGTTGTAGAAGTTGGTCTTTGTTGAAAAGTACGCGAGCAAGTTTTCTTTTAAAAATGTGAATTGTCGGCCGTCACCACCTCACTTGGTAGCGAGTTCCATGGTCGGATAACCCGTTAGCCGAACGAAAACTTCCTACGGTCTAGCCGCGTGCGTTCGCTCTTGACTTTGTAGGGATGACTGTGTAATTGGATTTTATGGGCAAACTCAAAGAAGTCCTCCGGTCTCAGTGAGAAATCATGGCCACGGACAATCCGGAATGTCCAGAGTAGACTTCAGTTGAGTTGCCTTACCAAGATAAAAAGGTGTCTTTACTGCCGATCACTAATTAATCCACTGCAGGAGTACTGAATAAATTCAAAGAATTTCATCATTATAGGCTATGGATCAGGTTCAGGCTGTGATATAACTCGATCGTCGTTTCCAAAAATTCTGACAACGAGCATAAGGACAAGTCTTTATTACTCTGCCAATCATGCGCCGCTCTCTGCTTTCGAAATAATCATCTAAGTGAACATCTGTGATTACCTCCATCACCGAGAAAACTGGAAACGGGTCTTGGTAGGTAGTCAACCAAGCGTGCCGCAAGCATGCTGACAAGGGTAAGACGGCCGACTATAGACAAAACGGTATTAGCAAACAACACTGACAAACTTAGATGAGTTCCGCTTTGGGTTTCAAAGTATACGATGTCAGAAATAGTAGGGCACGAGTGAAAGGAAGTGATTGTTAGGCTGGTTGTCTTTGGTCAAAGCAGCATCAGAGTTGGCACGCACGGAATCGGTCTATAGGGTATGACTGTTGCTAGTACACGTTGCTAATATGCGTTTTGGTTAGCTCGTCACTTCTCTGAAAACCATTCGGAAAACCCCTTGGCATTCGCATTCCGGCCGTCATCTACCTCATTTCTGGCAAGACCATTTATTTTCTTTGTTTCTCCATTTC